ACATGTAATGCGTTCATTCGTAAACTTTTATAGCTAAAATAGCAATATATTATGTGCATAACCTCCCGATAGATCTGGGTCGACTCCGATACCTTTAAGGTTACATGACACCTTTCAACTTGATTCCTCTTTTGTTTTCCCATCAGTTCTTGTTATTGTCACTTTGTATATTGTTTGGGGGTTGTCTTTGTTTATTCACAATGATATGTTTCAAACCTATTCTTGTTTAAAGTTGCAGTGATCTAATTGTGAGTCGTTTTGAAAATGTATTTACATTGTAAGTAAATAAAAGAAGAAATCTCAAAGTACATGCATGTACCACCGGCAAATACTCTATACCAAGAATTGTTCGCCGCAGTTTGCCCGTTTTCGCCCTCCTCAATGAGGGCGAATCTATCATGACAGTATAAATAAGTACACTACATAATAAACATAGAAATAACACGGTAAGGGTGAAAGCAACGCTGTGCTAGAGTGGTTGTACCAGTGAAGGACGAACATTGGACTGGGCGAATGTTGCCTGGCATTCAGCAATACGGCCCTGGCCACGTGTTTCTTCTTTAGTAACGTACACCTGAAACATTAGCCAGCAAAATAGTTTGAATTGTATTGTCAACAATATAGTTGTAAAAATGTATCTGTGTTTGGCAGTTTTAGACTTGAAACAGATAGGAATAGTTTGGACGTTGTTTAATCTTAAAATAATGAATGGTGGTACAATGGATATACTGGGAAGGTTTTAGATTCAACAGCAATCTTGTTTGTTAAATACGTATATTTAATTCTTTTTTACTTTTGAAAAAAAATGGTAAAGTATATAATGATTGCTATTTAAAAAAAACCGTTGTAACCATAATTGCCAAATGCTGCCGTACCTTCAAAATATGACTGACTATTAAGAATGCTTAACTATTCAGAAACTGTTCTATATCCATACTGTTGAGTGTACACTGTACACAATTAAAATATGTCAGAAATTCTGTATATAATTTTACCTTATCCAATGGGAATCGAGTTCTCCGGTACATCATCTATCTGCGTGGTAATATAACGTGTGCAATGCTAACAACACGTTTTCTATTTTGAAAACATATAGCACGTGTACACAGGACGAAATTAACAAAATCTTTGAACTTGAATTTTACGTACATTATAGCTGCTTTGATTAAATGTTTTTATGTTTTCTTTTTCTAGACATTAATGCCAAGATGTTTTCTTTTTCGACATTAATTCCGAGATATCAGAGGAGAGGGAATGAGCCGTTGTTAGTCTCATGTTAAGGCTTCTGATTCTATATGACCATGCTGTCTTCATTGTGGGGTTATCTATATGTTGTAATTGTATATCTGAATACGTTTACATGGTATTGAGTTATGATTAGTATACCTATTATTTTCTGCATTATGATTTTCACATGATCACATTTAAGACAATTAGAATTAAGACAATTACATGAAAATTAGATGCATTTATATGCATTCGAGTAAAAAAAAATTCTCTTAAAAAATGTATGTACCTATTTGATACCTAAGCATACAATTATAGCTTGATTAAATAACTGAATCTCCAAAATGTCTTTTTATTTTTATTACACCGTTTATGTTTTATATAAGGTGCATGATATATTGGGATAAACGTATGTAATATGCACAAAGAAATAAACTTGATTTTCTAACAAATGAAATTCGAAGACAATGTAGATAACTAACATTTACTTTAACTATTATTATATGATGTTGACCATCATAATTCAACTTTAAACCGTCACTATTCCGAATGCTGAGTCACGGAAATACATGTTTAATACATGTAACTGATCTACCTTAACTGTTTACACATTTTATCTAATGATAAGTAGCCATTGTTTCAATATTTCAGAAGCATCTTGAAACGAAAATCATGTATTCCATTTATAATGTATATTTCGTTAACATGCAGGTGTGAACTCCATTTAAAATTCATTTCCATGGTTCATTTTTACATGCGAAATAACACTTCCAAAAGAAAATGTATAAGAAAGTAATCACTAATGCGCTTGCACACTGTACAGGGCAGCTGTTATGGAGAAACCATATTTACACTGAATGTATAGTTCAAGTGTATGTTATCTACAATTTTTCTTTTCGTGAAAAGTGTAAATACAAATGCATCGATTCATCTATTATAGGAAAGATATTAGGAGGTCGAAAAGAAAGCATCATTATTTTTTTAATCAAAACCAGTTTTCATCAGGTAAAACAATTAATTGCGACATTAAATACCAAGACCGAGCACTACCTTGCATGTATAATGTATTATTGGGATATAATCGTTAGAGTGATAGTTTCCAAAACAAAATTAGCATATTTGGGCCTGACTCTATACAAAATTATTATTTCAATAGGTTAAAATGCATTTTTATTGTATATTTTGATATATTAAACATATATTATAATCATCGTTTATTGTAAGAACATTTTTAGTCACTTCAGAAATGACATGGTAGAGGCAGCACGACTACTTTAACCGGAAATAAAGTAATTAATTCTTACTAGTAAAACCGGATACGTTATTCAATGTCCGGAACTGTTCTCCTCCCTAATTGTATGTAACAACGCCGTAAATGTACTGAGTCATATGTATTATAACCGTTAATAAATACATATTACTACCATTTATTTAAGACACGAGGTGAGAAATTCCCAGGAGATTTCTGACTCATGCTTGGTAAACCTAAATTGAGGTATCTGTTCACTGTTCTAACGAAACTGGGTCGGCGTAAACTCGGGTAATGGCTAAACATTTCCCTAACAAATGGTAATTATATTGAAATAAATTACTACTTTCTAGCATTTGACATTTCAGAACTGGCACATTTGATGGTGAAACATATTCCTAGACCATAGGACGATGGTACTATTGCCGCTACCATAAATCTTTGTCCAAATTGATGTGTTGTTATTAGTAATGACAGTGTAGGCTATAGAGAATGATCATCAATTATCATACATTTTGGAATAAATAAAGCCGCTCTGGCGTTCTTTAATTTTTAACAAAAATTCTGGTTATTTTTTCTTCCACTGTAATACGCAGATTATTTCTTCTATAGGTTTACATATCACCCATTTTTATGAGATTCTATGATCTTTCAGAGTTTCTGAGTATCTGCCAGTTTCATGAGTACATGTACTATCCAATGGTTAATCGGGTGATATTCTATTCCCTTGAATCCGTGAATGAAAGTCGGGAAATCAATCCCAAACTGTGTGTTTGATGGCTTGTCTTCCATCAAATTCACATTCGTTCCCTCTGAATTTCTTCCGCCAAAGACACGACTTCTTCATACGTGGTGGATATCAAACAAGTATAGCAATTGCCAATTAACGGGCAACTGCGGCCCCTACTGCGCAGCAATTGTCACGTCGGCTCAGCCCATTTCCGCCTACATTATTGTAATGGCGGACTGACAATTGCTACATTACCATGGGGCTAAGACCGAACCGAGACATTAAATTATTTAAATATCCTTGATGAGGTTCGTAAGTGAGAGGACCGTTTGAAGTTCCTGGGACTAATTCATATCTTTGCTCCTGTCAATCATAGAAGTGCGTCAGATGGCACAGTACTTAGAAAAGTAAATCGCTCTACAAGTATCCAGAGCAACTATTCTTTCTCCATCTATGTTGTAGAAACGTGCATTCAATTATGTCATGACATATGCTACTAACGTTTGAAACCAGAAGAAACACTTGGAAGTTGAGACGATTTTCCTCGCAGAGCCATAGGTTATGAAATTTCTAACTGCAATAGAAAGAACTATCTACAAGCTGGAAGGAAAATATGGAAATAAAAAACACATTCCATTGGCAAAACGCATATATTACACAAATATTATCATATGCACTTAAGAGGGGTACAAGAGGTCACTTTGCATGCCTGCTGTTAATTACCTAAGTATATACCTTCCTTCCAGCCGGTTATAAAAATTTTACATTGCACAACAGCTGTCAGGAGAGTTATGAGTCTTTAAAATTGATAGGACATGGTCTTACTTCCGACAATCAAAATTCAACTAAAAACCAGTTGAGGCTAATGTATGGTAACAGAGTGATGAGAGGGGCAATTATGGAGTAATTCCGTACCCCTACGTGGTCGCCCGACTCCCCAGTCCTTATCACAAGCTTCCTGTCATATCAAAGACAGCAAGTGATATTATCCCCTATATCTGCACACATTGGGGATAACTGACATAACAACCGGAAACGGTGTACCCCGAGTCAAATAAATCTCTTTTGTGACATTTTCGCTGATTTGCACCGCATTCGACTACTGCTATATTAGTATCCGATTCAAGTTTGTTTAATACATCTTAATGTAAACGTTACGAGCACCAACCAGCCATTGTGATATAAAGTAATCTGTGTTGTTAGCGGAAGTGTTGACAGGGGCACGTGGACCCCGTAAGAGGCACAGATGATGGAGGGGCATCTCCTTCAGCAAGTATATATAACGTCGTGTACAAAGTTAATTTTAGATTTATATTTGTTATCTTGATAGGTGACAAACAATTTTGTTACGGACATATTAAGATTGATGTAGGGGCGATACTGTCAGCTTTATAACGTCAATAACAATGTTTTTCATAACCAACGAGTTTACAGGTTATAGTGTATGTTAATGAGTCACCTATGGATTTCTGGTTTTGAACTTGGATCTTGCACCTTTCACTTCGTTCTACTTTATTGTATAAGTCATAGTTTATATGCCACGATGACATATTAATTCACCCTTACTGTTTATTACTTCACAAACTATAGCAGTGTACAATGCATGTAAATAATAATTAATTATCAAATGAAAATAAAAACTTCCAAATGCTGTTGTTTTTGTTGTAGCTCTTTGTTGAAATACTTGTTATGCTATAAATCTCCATCACGATCATCGAATCACGACTGGAGGTAGTTTGTTGGATAAATATGCATCAAGAACACCAAAGAGTAAAATCTGTCCAGTATATGTTATTTTATTAAATGACGAACAACCATGTTGCATAAACATATTTACAAACATAAACAATATCTTAGATATATATCAAAAAGGTGGAGCACAAGAATACGCCCAGCACAAGAAGAATACGCCGGGCCTAGAATGTGAAGCTAAAAATTGCATGGGTTGGATGGTGGGACAAAGAAATTCCGAGCAACCCTTCCACCTTGTAAATTTTATGTTGATATCATATGACGTTAATCCGGATATCTGATTGGCTGATTGCCTTGACATAATTAGTATGGGTGTACTCGATTTACTTCGAACCGTATGACCATGATTCTTTCAGCTTCACATCCTACTATTCATTACATAGACGATTAAAACAAATAATATTCCGATGTACAACATAAATGTATTTATTGGTATAAATTGTATGTGTTGCCAATATCATGCATTTTTTCGTCATTTATTTTTCTATAAAAAAATGCATTACAAAATTACATAAAATAAGCCAAAGCAAGATATTTGTTACGAAAGTTGGGTTTCTTTTATAACAACCTCAAAATTACATTAACATGTCTTTACTGTATATGTAAGTTTACTATCTGCTTCTGCGAGTTTAGAGATCTTAAACAAAACAGGAAAAGTAAATATTAGTTCTATATTTATCTTAAACGCTTGTGTTAAATCATCAGTTGCTAATCATAGATTTCAATCAAATGAATACGTGATTTATATGTCGGTATGTTTTCCCATATTCAAAGTACAAACATGGTGCTTATAGTTATAGTTACTATAAGGTTCAATGTTGGAAATAAAGCGGTAAGTGAATTTTTAACATTTCGTCCTTCTTATTTCTATATAAAATAAAAAACAAAAATGGTAAGCCAAACAGGTACCCTCGGCCATCGAAGAGGTCTTCCATATAATGACGACACAGCAGTTATGTTTAAAACAACTGAATTGTGATGGCTATTGTATTAACAGGAAACCACACGATACTTCTTTCTGGCCGTACTTCATTATGGCCATACTTCATTCATTATTTTTATATTATATAAATGGTTCAACTCAAAACGTACATACGAGTTTGAACTACGTTCAAATGTCAAACAAATCCAAATTTAAAGATTAAATGATTATATATACACCTTATTGTACTCAATGATCCGGTATATAAAATAAGTATTCATATTTATATACATTGCAATAATTGTCATATGGAAGTTACGCATTAAGGGCAATGACTTCATGACATGTTATACCTTTGAAGAGTTATCTCCCTTGTGATGTTTTGTAAAAGTAGCAACGAATAATAGTTCGCTGAGCACTATCAGTATGTACATGTTATGTCCTTAAATATATGGTCTACAATCACAAACATGCACGCACACGCAACAAAAACAATATAAGATTATAGTAACGGTTGGTTTTGATCATATAAATGTATGACAGACCACCTGTAGGTGTTACCTGATGCAGCCGTCCAGGTGTAAAGGCCCATGTGAACCTAGTCTCCCAGTTTCACTGGTAAGGGACTAAATATCACGGAGACGAAGATACTACAATAGTATTGGCAGGAATGCTTGGATACCTTTTGGTTTTGCTGTTTCCAGACAAATGGTAAGAGTGGTGTTTTGAAAATGTAATGCATAAGTAAATATTGGGATCATACAGTATATATAATATATTTTACATTAATAAATGATCACGTCGGTCTAAAGTCGCTTTCGATGTTATGATGAGTGTTATTGCTTTATATTAGCAGAAAAAAGTAGATTTTCAGAAAAAGGTTGTCAAAATTCCTAAAAGATGTTATGCTCATACATTCCAATAATTTCTTTTACAGCTGTTTAAACGTTCCAAATTTTATGGCATCAATGCAAACAAAAAACTGGAGCAAAAACTGGTGACACGAAAAATAATACACTCTTTTCAGGAGACATCGAGGTAAACAACTTAAGTGATCCTACTAAGGAACGAATGGGGAGTAGGGGCCATTGTAACGTTTCCGGCTCAAGATGTGGGCCAGTAAGGATGTTTCCGATAAAGTGCAGCCACTCTGCAGTTGTTACCTTTGTGGATATTGTATTTTGAAAATATCAACGCTTATTCGGTATCACAGCCCGTTAAGTTGATAGAAGTAATAAGTTTAATACGTTACATATCTGGTGAAACACACGATGGGATGGATACAAATGGCTGAAACTATGTTAAAGAAGGAATTACAGTATTTTGATATATAGGCACATACATTGTTTGACATTATAAAACAATCAGTCGTTTATTTGTCTGAAAAAGCCGGAGACAAGAAAACGTGTCCTGTATCAATAGCTTCTAATGCACCAAATGCTGCATCCATTAGGAAGTCTTCCTTTAAAAATCTTCCTAGTATATCTCTGTATGTATGAGAGAAGTACAATGGTCTTACCGTTTTCTCCCGTAACAGAAATTGTAAATATTCCGATTACGACAGCCTAATTCATAATTTGCGAAATCTAGCAAGTTGTGCAACGCAACCATTATCACACGGATAATTGTATACGGTGATGTTTATTGTCTCGTATAACGTTTCGGTTATAAACAACAAAGATTTACAATGGTCGATCATTGTTCAATGTAACAATAAATGTTGGAGCAATCCGAGTCTTGCATTCCGATAACGTTTAAATCTGTCAAAATACATTTTAACACAAATATAATATATCTGAACAATTTTAAAAATAGATAACTTAGGTAAAACCACGTGTGTGTCTTACATCTGTCATACAAATGAGAGGAAAATGAGTTCACACAATGTGAACAAGCTGAGCGAATTTAAAATGATGACAGAGTTAAATGCACGATTAAACAATTGAAATTACCACTTAGGCGTTGCTTTCGTTGTCAGATGAGGACAGATAAGGAGATATCCCGTGCGCTGCAGACGTGTTTGTGCTATCTTTGTCTTTGTCTTTTGTAGTTGAAGCTGTCACGTTCCCGCTCACATTGACTCTCCGTGAACGTCTTATCGTTGACCTATTAAAGTGTTCTTCCCTAGTGTCTGTTGGATGCAAGTGTGTCACCTTGCTATCAAGATTGTTTTCTGTCGTTGTCAACTTTTCCATCTCTACGCTTGATTCATAAATCTTACGGTTTTGTTTCTTATTTCTTTTTTTCTTTGGCATTTTTGAACTTTCCAGTCCTGGCGTAGGGTCAGAAACATTCAACACATTATCCTGTGTGTAAGTGTCTTCTGCATTCTTATCTCTGTCCTTAGACTTTGATTTCTTTCCTTTCTTCCGACATCCGGGCTCCAGATATTGAAATGTACCTAAGATTTCATCTGCAAGTGAGCTTAATAGTGTGTCACCGTTCCTTCCCTTCTTTTTGGGTCCATCGTCCGGTTTATCCGGCTTAATATTTTCAGGTTTAATTCTATTCTTCTTTTTCCAATAAACCGATTCATCTTTGTAACTTTCTTGTTCTTTTTCTTCTTCAGGTACGTGTTGCTTTTGATTCCCAGCAGAATCGTCTTTTTTCTCGGACAACTTTGACCACATGTTGTGTTTATCTAGTACAGAAGGATTTTTCTCCTGTGCATCCCGTTCTTCACTTGATTCCCGCTCACGTTTCCTTGTCGATTTTCTTTCCAACCTTTTTTGTTTTCTTTCCAAAGCCATTTCGTTGTCATTTTCAGTTTGATCGAGCGTGTTTTGATCGTCATTTTCGTTTTGCAAGTCTTCAGACATTGAAGGTTTTGATTTTGCGATGTTATTAGGTTTCAGTTTGGTAAACAAGATAGCACGTGACGATGCCTGAAACGGAAAATCATTTATTAAAACCACTGTGTTGGATATAAGGATGATAATGTTTCTATAACGAGAGTACAATTGTGTACTTTACAGGGAGAGTAAAGGAGAAAACATCATAAAGGCTGTTTTGGAGTTTTATTTTGCTACATAGTAAACCATATCTAATCAGAACAACCGAAGAAAACATCACAATGACTGCGCATATGCATAGGACACTTAAACAAAAAAAACCCACCATAAACAGTGTTATCAAAACTAGGATAGGAATTGGTCGGTCAAGTGGCGCAGTGGATAACGCACTCGCTTTACCCAAGGCGTCCGGAGTTCGATTCCCCGTTCGGACGTAAAAAGATATGTTGAGACGTTGTTCTTCTCCAGGTACTCCGGTTTCCTCCCAAATTAAGGAAGATTAATAATCTTCTTCTATTGTCCGTAACTTGATTTTAATACGGTATTAATTGATTGGTATAATGAGTTACATTCATTATGCAGTACGTCTTATGTAAGCGAATATTTATAATCCAGGGTGAAAACAACCGCAAACATTAACGCAATATATTACCTACTGATGATAAAATCCAACTTATCTCCAGAGCCATTAGCGAAGAACAGGATGTATCAACAGACCATCACGAGTCTAAAATCAAACTGCACTGATCACTAAAAGATATTCGATTACCTTTTCAGAATATCTATATAACTCTGTAAAACATACTAAAAGTTCCCAATTGTTTATTGTGATACCATAACAATGGCTAACGTCCATTCGATAATGATGTAAAAGGTAAAAAAAAAACCACCGAAAGAAAAAAATATCACTGGGGATTTAGATAGACGGTATCCGTAAAAGGGGCCATGCTTGCATGATACCATTTGTACCAACCATTGCCTGGCGTTTCTTCTCTTATACATGTACCTATTTTTAAGGTACACTTTGACGTATTTCTCATGAATATACCAGGACGGAACATCTGCAGTTGGCTAGTGTATATATCTTTAAGTAGCCTATGATGTTATATCCCTTGTGGACACCCTTTAAGGAATGCCTAAATATGTGTTTCGTGTCCATACCCTTACGGAGGGCAAACATTTCTGGCGTACCTTCTACATGTAGTACGTAAGGAAACCATTGTTATCTGTACCTACCCTTAACGCGCGTTGCGAGTTGTTTCTGTCAAGCTTTCCAGTGCCGATCATCTCCACATGGTCAGAGTTTAGACACTCCTCAATTTTATCAAGTCTGTATATTAGAAACATGTACGATTGAACAGCAAAAATGTGTGAATACGTTTTGCAGTTTAGTGCATATATTTAAAAGTGTGAGAGTAGCTTATGTTCTTTTCTTAGCGTAAAAGGAGATGGTCAATGTATGCAAATGTATACAAAAAGCTATTTAAAAGAACGTGTCGAACGTCCTGGGGACAAATTGAAGAAACGATATGCGAAATATGATATGTGCATGATAAAAAAACGGTGGTCGTTTCTTGACAGTACATTTAATCAAACGAGAAGATAAAGTCTAAAATATTTTACCTGCTAGCGATGTTCTGTATTTGTATTGTTAGTGACGTTTGGGTTTCTTTCAATTCTTTCTGAAACATGTTCTTTCGTTCTTCAGTCTGCATTCGATTGACACGATGGAATTCATTGTCTGAAATGTTAACGTCACTCAAACATTAGGTTTAGTGTCGTGAACTACAAGTGAAATATTATATTTTAAAGAGGCATGCACTAGTATGAGAACGCACGAAGTCGATTTTAAGTCTCTGTCTGAAAGAACTCACAGCAGCCGTGGGATCAACGATGTGAATGCCTATTCCTTCTGTACCGAAATCTAGCGAAAGCAAAGTAACGAACAACCAGACGTTACCGGCTAAAGGGAGATAACTCTTACCCATTGTCGACGTCAAAAACACGTTAAAACATACTTACCTGTAAGAAAGATTTCGTTTCGTGGTGTTGATTTTCTACATCCGCAGCAGAAAATAAATTTAAGGAAAGCCAAGATGTGAATGATGATAGAAAAGGGAGGCACAAACACTGTCTTTAAATGGTACTCATAGGTCAGGAAGTACATATTGTAGCGCCATATGGCGGCGGTCTTCTCAAATATGACGTTATAGATGTTACTGTAATAAATGAAAATAACAATAAATTTGTTTGTTGCGTAACTGCAATGGTTACCTTTTTAACATATGTCTTCTATTTCCAAATATATGAATAGTGAAATTGCATTTAAATTAAATTTGAATATTTTCTATTGTGCAACAATGCCAAACTTTTTCAAGACTATTCAATTCACTATTTCACTCCAACAAATTTACACTGCTATTCAAGGTTGTACATGGTCTGCTATTTGTTTTATGTTCATTATCGTAATGGAGACACAATGTAGATTAAAAAGACATATGTCAATTACCTGAAAATAGCAATGAGTAGATTCAGGAGAAGAACATTCGACAACAGTATGTAGATACCAAGGAAAATGTACACCAAGGCATGTTGTTTCCTACAAAACTTAGCATCGCCAGCACAATCTGGATCATCTGCAACGAAGGGCAATGTGATCTGAATGTAAGCTATACACATTATACACTGTTTATATGCAGAAATATATCATAATTAACCATTCATATATCACATATCATGTACTCTTATCAACTGTATAATCATATAAGAAACTTTCATAAAAACCCCCACATGTATTTGTCACAAACTATATGAGGTCACAAACACCTGGAGCTTCGGGAAGAGAAAGGGCTTGCTGTATCCCACTGTAGATTATCAGAGGAGGCGACTAATGTTACACATCCGTAGAGCTCTGATGTTTTCTGTCTTCTATTATAGGGGACATTGCAAAAACTAACACATCTCCCTAAAAACCCTGTCTTGATATGACCTACGTTGTTGCAAGGTCGTTTAATCCAAACCAACGAAGCAAAACAAACAATAACAAATTAATGACTATACAGTTGTTTTGCATCTGAACAGTGCTATGAAAGAGGTATGTTAGTTTGTGTGAGATGTCAAGTCCTCGTAACAGCTGAGGTCATTTGAACACGGATGCATGGGGTGAAATAGCTAAATAGATAGAGTAGAATGTGAGTGTTATGTTCCTATTTGAACAGTGCGTGGTTGTACTTTGAGAAATGCGATGTATTAAGCAGTGCTTTCGAGTAATTTGAACACTTATCTGTAGTAAACTGAATGTGACGTTGGTCAAATGTCCGAATCACTGAACAGGAACAGGATATACTTATCAATAGTACAGAAGTTTCGGGGGGGGGGGGGGGGGGTTANTATATTAAACTTTTAGAACGATTTAAAGGTTTTGATTTGTAATTACAGAGTCTCTGTTGATCAGTGTCTGAATAACAAAATCAAATTTGGATTAACCTAGTCTTCGAAGGAATGTTAAATTTGAAATAAACTGATTTTACCGTCGTGCTTTTTATGGTATCCTTTAAATCACTGATTTTATTTAAGAATGTTTATTGTTCAGAACTAAGATACAAAGGAATTGAGCAACAGGCAAAGCCTATGAGTGCCCTCTCCTGTAAATCACTTTTGAGCTTCCATACTTATACAAATCTCTGCAAAGAAACCTTAAGGCAATGCTAACGTTTACAGCTCATCAAAATATGCTTTTGATTTGCATTTATATTGCTTGATACATCAAATACATTTAAGTCCATTTACATCAATCGTTCCATGAATAGATAATTTTCCTATTGTTCTTTTACCGTGTAGTATCATACAAAGTGGCACTAAATCTTGTTTGTTATTTATAACTTTTACTTGCAGTGGAAATTCAATTGGTATTGCAATCCACAGAGTATATAATATCACATCAGTGAAATCAGTATTTAAACGGTTTAAACATCCCCGAAATTTTTCCAACAACAAAGCAATGAGTCATGCAAAAGTAGTCAACGAACTAAGTACCTTCTATTGCATCGAGTCCAACTTCCCCGTATACTATCCAGTAAGGTTGGTAGAAGACGTCTCGGATGATATCCCAGGAGGCATGTCGCTCCGTGTACAGCAGGGCCTGGCTAGACGTACCATATGCCACGATGAAAATCAGCAGGATCAGAAAGAACTGCAGCATGGACGCCGTCTAGGTAAGAATATCGTGTTATATCTATGGTTAATGATGGGGATGATATTTGGAACCCTTTACAACCTATCAATATGTACATTTAAACAATCATAGCGCTTTGTTTGACATTATGGTATGCTTATGATAGAAAATCTTGCATTCAATTCTTGTTTAAAACATGTATTGTCCAGTATTAATCAACAATTGCTGCCCTTCCTACCATTTCCTTCACCATGACGACTTGAGGACCTAACGTCTGATCGACAACGTACGCCCTGAAGATTTTGAGTTGGAAGATGACGAGATTGATGGAGTAGGCTATCTTTGTGAAGGTCTGGTCTGGTTCTAATTGGTGGACACAGTACCCAAGAACAAACAGTAGGGCATTGAGAGACTCCACGATAGTCGTCAGACCGATTATGTCACGGATTGTCGCACTCCAGCTTGCTGTAGGAAAGATTCCCACCTGTGAAAATGTCAAAATTAATACAGAATGCTGAACCGAGAGCACCCAACCCTGGCAGTCCTAACGATAAAGTAAGTTACCCAATCAGGAAGACAACATTTCCATAGCACGACCTTTACGTGTGTTGATGCTATGACGTACTTTTAAGAAATATATTTATTTCACAGATATTTGATTAAAACACTAAACGTGCTATAATATATAATGTACAAAATGTATGTATATCACACTTACAGTATACAATTCATCCAACTGCAGTGTGAGAATCCACGCTAGACACACGCTCTCCAGTGTAGTGATGTACTCTTTCTTGAAGTCTACCAAAACCATATACACGAACACTCCGAGGAATACGAAATACGTCAGCTGACAAAATAATCAGTGCACATTTGTTAAATAACAATTTTTCTTATTTCCTTAATGACAAAATCAGTACATTGCAATTTTTTTTTATAGCGTCAGTAATTTATGAATACAGCCAAACTATTTTAATTATTCTATTTTCTCTCTTTGTGCTAATTTTAACAAGCGACGACTTACATTGTGATAAAAGAATTTTGTCCTCGGCGATTTGAAGTACAGTTTAAACTTCTGATACGTCCGCTTGACGAACGAGGATCCTCCCTTCCTTCCATAACTCTCATCCAAATCGTCTGTCTTCTGGAGGATATATGGAACTCTTACTTTCATGACTGGGGTAGCCACAAGAATAGGCAAGACTTGCAACAAGACCATCTGAAGAGGAGTACATGAAATATCACTATTGGGTATGTTTAACGGGGGTCTTAGTTGTTGCATAGTATTTTGTGTATAGTGGTAAAATACGATACAAAGAAAAATGGTGCAGTCAGTACACAAACACGGTAAAAAAACGGTAAAAACATACATGATCACGACAAAACATCAGAGGAAAAATTAGGTGTACCGGAATAATGAGCGATTACTGCACCACATGAGGGTCCCAACTTGATGACTACCGTCAAGTCCAGGAAAGTTTGTATTTCACTAATGATTTTATGAGAAAATGGTCATCCTTGCGTCGTTTACACATTTAAAAAAAGGAAAACCGTAACATCAGGTTAAACTTTGTAAGCATACTAGTTACCACTGTATAATTCTCTCATCCATTATTACCCGTTTCACGTCGACAAATACACCACCATTCCAAATATCATCCATAAACTTCTGTACTGCCTGGGCCGCCATGAAATTCTAAAAAGAGACAAAAATGTTATCAGAAAGGTAATGTAATTAAACCAATACAAAATTATTACAGGACCAATATACAATCTGTTTACCTATATACATTTTGCTTCATGTTATAGATACGTGTTTTAACAGCTGTGCGATTCAATATGTGATTGACAACGTAGATTACCGTGACATTGCCGCTGGCTGCCATTTGGAGGGCGGACAATCCACCCCACATAGACGACGGGCCACATAAAAGTAGCTGTGTGAGGTTCTCGTCCCCAACATTACAAGCACTCAGCAGCTGGATGGCCAACTTCTCAAACATCCTGTGATATAAACACTTAATTAACAAACAGTAAATTGTTAGAATAAAATATTAATGACAATTTGAAGGTAGTTACAATTTACTCTTTAACTCGTTTTAAGTATGTTAATACTTTGCAAATTTGAACCATCAAATGTGTGCAATTCAATTCTGTCATATATTACATACTATGCTATGTATGCCATTCAACTTCCACACGCTGTCTTTAACAAAACAACTGTGATGAATTTGTTTCGTTTTATACATTACGCAATATTGGATTATTGTAAAGTTAACGCTGACCATAAATAACAGTTTACCCTCATTGGTAGTTAAAGTTTTGTGTATGTGATAAGTATGTAAGTATATAAGTAAGTTCGTAGTGAAGTGGTTATCACTGACTTTTATACAACACTTTTGTTGACTTTACCTCACTTTAAACATACATTAGCATGAAAAATAAATGTAGTTCCACGTACTTTTTGTTTTCGTCAAGTTGTTTCTTCTCGTCCTGAAACCTGTCGTCAATCTGTGACTTCATTATCTCCATTAGGTGACACATGGCAATGGCGCTCTGCAACGGCTCATGTCGTAGCATGCGCCAAGCAAACTTGGCAATGTCTGGTCTGGAAACAAATAATATTGTAATTGTCAACTGTTAGGCAGACTAGTATTACAAATCGATACATTCAAAGAGATCAAGAGCCATTGTCCTTATGTCGAGAAGTAGTCACATACTAATTTACAAATATGAAAATAATGTCGTTAGAAAATGTTTGTAAAATAATTTCACTGCTTGCTTATGATAACGCAAACATTGCTTTATGTTTATTTTTCACTTATAAACGTACACGAAAAGTGATAAATCGTTACGTTAAAAACATTTTTTTTGATTCCCCCCCCAGTGATTTTATTGATATTTTATTAATTGATAAACCAAATACCAGGAAGACAAGTTGCACAGTGGATAAGCTCCATATTCTTTGCTTTAGTAAATCGTTAATCAATTACATGTCCGCAAAAATATTGCCTAATGAAATTGAACTTTTTTCGTTCGAAATATAACGCAGAGCTTTTGTATGATCCACATCTTGAGTAAATATTTATATTGATATGATAGGTATATTTTAAAACTTCACCTGAGAAAGATCACAGCCCAGATGAGAAGATGCTTGTAGGGGTAGGTGTAATTGCCTAGACGCTCTGGCAGCAACATCCTGATATTTCCCTCAGCAACCTCAGCGTTTTTCTGTTGCAGCTCTGCTTCTGTAGCCACAAAGTCATCGTCGTACCTGTCAAAGAGGTTCTTCATCACTCGAACTATGAAGGTTCGTTTAGATATGGCCTTCACTTCGTCGATTTCCTTTTCATCCCGATGAAGATATAGTGGAGCCATGTCCTCCCATATTGTCATTCCGTAGTCATGGCATGCCTAGAATTTAAAAATATGTTCTTAAAACTTGAAGGAGTTTTTTTTTTATCATTATCGATATTGCAATGAATTCGTTTGTATGTGAACAATGCATACCCTTTCATAGAGCTGTGCTAGATTTTTACTGATGAAGTTATTGAAATCAACAACTGCTATTTCTTTCCCAATCAGTTCTTCAATCCAGTCCAAACGTTTTTCCTGTGTCGTAATGGCTGTCAACAGAGTTTCATGAAACAGGTCTGTATCAGAGGCTGAAACACAAAAGAACATGCAGTCATGTTGGGAAAACAATTATCAAGATGTTTCCTAGCCTACGCATATTTTGTTATCTTTCTGGATTCCCGAAACAACTTATTTAAGTAACATTTTCTAATTGGAGAAATAAGATATTGCCATTTATACAACATACAATATTGTTTTGGGATTTTCTGTTTTAATTAAACAATGAAAACATCGTTATCTTAAAGATCATTTAAAAACAGACAACAAAGTCAAATCGAAATTGCGATTTGTTTTTCAATCGTAATCTTTAAACATCCATGTGTTTTTATATAATATCGATATCAGTTGCAGTAGTTGAGAGCCTATTGCCTGTATAAGCAACATACCATCAAGATGCTTTGTGAGCAGTTCCTGGACTTGTTCGTTCTTTAACATGTTCCATTCAACCGCTAGACTCATGATCTTACTCAGCCTCTTCGGGTGCTCTAGGAGATATAATACATAATTGAATCAACAGAAATATGTAACAAAGAAATATTTACATCCAATTCACATTATTAGATCTAATGACAAGAAAATAGCTTTTTTATCTTATTATATGCCCAATTAAATATGAGTCATATTAAGTAATGGCATAAAACTTTAATGTATGTTTTGTTACTTAATATAATTCAAGAATATTACCTGAGCTGCTGTTGAGGAGGACAGTGAGAATCTTGTTGTTGAAATCGGCCTCCTTCTCTAGGTCGCACACAGCAAAACAATCTTCACCATCCTATCAAAGAAATGGTATGTAGTCAGCATTCGAATACACATTTGTTGAATCAACGACTTCTATTTCACAATCTTTTGCATTTTTTTTTACCATAAGCTTTTGTTTTGTTTGCCGGTTTGTGATTTAGCGTCCCTGAACATGTAACAATTATGGTCATATGAAGACGGGTCTCTAGGGAAACACTTCCAAAGAAAGAAACTCAACATTTGTCTCTTTAATATCCTCTAGACGGAGGACATGCAACCCTCATTCTTCACCACATGATTCGCCTCGTATGACAAGCATTAAATAGGTTTCAAAGCACAAACCTTAAGGGATATCAAGTATGAATAGAAACAAAATGGGGTGAAGTTATGTAGAGAATACGCTCAGTTTTTAAGTTTTGATTAATTTGTTTTTTAATTACGTGAACAATTATTGAAATGTTTCGTAGTAATATCAAAAAATCAGTATATCAGTATTTAAACCAATTTTTGACGATAACTTTAAACGTTCTATTTTACACAAAGCCAAGGAGACCAATTTTTATTACGAAATGAACTATTTATTTTGTAACTAGACATTTAAAACTTTGAAATTATTGTTGAAAAATTACTTACATTTTGGAGTTTTTTTAATAACTGCTCCAGTTGACAGGATACTCGAGTTTTTTCTTCTTTAGTGTAATTTTTCCCGACCGAAATGTATTGGAAGAAGTCTTCCCTTAGACTTCTAAAACACAGAAATCAAATCATTGTTTTAAACCTCGAAAAATATTCCATTGCTGAAGCAGTGTTATTTTATGGGTGGTACTTTTGACGATTTTTTTTACCATGTCACTGTCCTTGTCATTTAATTGGGATTCGGGTGGATTGATTATCGAGCGCATATGCTAGCTTATGACGATGGGATGTCTATTAATCGCACAAGGATCAACACACTAAGAAGGACAACTCTAGTAGTTATTTAGTCATCGTAAGAAAACAAATTTTACAAATTGTCCCTTTCGTCTAAAATCAGATAATCAATATAAATACGAGGTGAAAGGGCAGCTAGGGAATGTCAATCAGGATGTCATTCTTTCTGCGTTTGAAGGTTATCTCGGGTACACAGGAAAAATCAATAATAACTAATAAGCAGATTTGATATTAAGAACATTAAGAACAAAATTCTAAAATGTTACTTAGATAAAATATAAAAATGATTTGAACACATCAAGTAAATGAATAAATCTCTTCTATTTAGGATACTAAATTGACATCATTTAAAGATGTCACAATTATTTTCTTTTTCAAATGAATCTGGTATAATAACCAGTTTCGGAACTTAAACGTTTTTGTAACCAATTAAAGTCACCATTATACCATCGTAATCAGATAATATTTGTTATTATAGAAATCATCAATTGCAATGGAATATTTACTCAAATTCCGTATTCGGATTATTTGCGTTGGCGATAAACCCTGCCAGTCCACCAGTTCCCTTAATCACCAACACTGGCAGTTTTGCTTTCAATGCGCGGTCGATATATGTCAACGTTGACTCATTTCCTCCTGCTAGAACTATGACCACTGGAGCAGAAAGCTGTTTATGTTCTTCTGTAATGTCAATTATGCATAAATAATCATATCTATTACTGGGAGGAATGCAGATTTATAATACACAAATCAGTCATGCGATCCTCTATACATTCATTTGCATTAAATAAGTGTATATATTAATAAGAAAGTAGATAACATATTCATTTTCTTTAAACAAATTATAATCCAATACTCAGTACAATAACGTAAGGTTGGAATTGTTATCGTTCAACGGTAACGCTTAAAGACCCCCGTACCACTGCCAAACATTGTAACTATGCATAAGAAGCCCTTTTCCGCCATGACAATTGCAACGGTGATATATTGCTGAAGAGACAGTCATACCTTGCGAAACTTGACAAGAAAGATAATTGAACTACACAGCAAAGAAGAACCCTGATCAGATGGCAGGTTCTCATGTGACCCTAGCTGTATCGAGGAAGTTCCACCCCTAACAAACAAATCAGTCGCGCTAAATGTATACCGATATTAAAATAAAGGGGAGGTTACTGTATGTTCACAAACTACGCTGTAATTCTTTAGTGTTTAGACCGCAGTGGGACAAGGATCATTCAGTACCACGCTAAAAGGTTTGTAGAATCGGTATTGATATGCGTTGTACCTGCATGTTCGTCTTCATTGAGTTCCATTAGTTTCTTTTCTATACAGTGACGGTAGAGCATGACGTTTTCAATGTATTTCCCGACATTGCCTTCAGTGTAATATTCGTGTTGATCGTGAGGAAAGTCTACAAACATGTGGTAACCCAGGCCGTGACACAGGCGTGTGTTACCCCGAGTCATGATGTCCACACCAGCTTTATTCTGTGTGCGGGTGCTGCGCTGTCAAAAGGCAATTTTGTTTAGGATTTTATAAAGAGTCAGATTTGTATCGATATAGTGACAGCTGCGTTTTCTATTTTGATACATGTATCCTCAAATTAGAAACTGTTACTAGGATATAGTTACGTTACGTGGAATATCGGATCAACTCCGGCTTCCATGGGTTCTGTTGAAATATGATTATGTTTTCTAACTGGACCCAAGTCAGTCTCAGTTACAAGTAACATAAGTTTGTAACTTCGTTATGTTTGTTAATAGACACAATGTCCAATTCCATAACAAAACACTTCGCGAGAGAACAAAATCACAACTTACCCCAAAGACGATGATAAAATGATTAAAATCAGAAATAATTTCGTTTGGTGTAAAACAGAGTACCGGCCAAAAAGGCTGATCTCTCTACGTTGAAAGTCCACAAACCTTGAATGTTTTCGGATCAGCCATGAGCATTGGCTTGTCTTTTATGAGGTTCCAAGGCGATAGCCCAATTACAGGAACCTTGCGTTGCTTGTAGGACTGATCCATCTTGCTGAACACCATATTCACTGATTTGGTTATACCCTCATCTAAACCGGAAGTTATTACCATTGCCTCTGCATCACGGGAAAACTTGACATAGAAATGAATAATTGTTTAGCACCTATTTTATTCTATTTTTTTCGACTTCGATGTCATTTATCAAATTGTGCATTTTCTGATAAAATGTCTAAATAAATATGCGTAAATATGCAACGTAAATAATATCACATTTAATATTTTTTACATAAATTTTGTAAAAGCATATTGAAATATTCCTGTAAAGAGTATAATATAAATTTCCCCTACAAACATGAAAAAATGTTACCAACCTGAACGAGTTTAGACTGAAAACTTCTCATAAGTTTGATTGGAATCTCGTCGCCCACAACGGATAAAACCAATCCCGCATCTTTAATCTTCCAATATTTCAGAAAATATTCTAGTATCTTATCCTGATGATCCGAGGAAGCTACTTGAACATACTAAAAATTGACGACAAGAATTTATCTGTTTGGAATAACAGTTTGAAAAAAAAAAGAAAAAAAAAAGACATTTGTTTTGAAATGAAACTTTCAAAGACTACACAGTTTCTTTCAAAACTATCAAACCAGACACCATTTTTTGCTAGTTGTATAATTGACAATTAAGGGAAAACAGAAAGTTTTATATTTAAACGATGTGCATTTAATTACTTCCATTGTTGCCTGACAGTTACATATATTTCTTCTATCCATGGAACCTTTAAGTTTAACGAACCCTGAGGGAGCTAAGACGATTCCTCCATCTTCTCCCACAGTAGACAGACTCTCTTGTCGACTTGTTGCATCCTACAAACGAAACACACGCTGAAAACTTTCATAATACTCAGAGATTGTAATGTAATGTAATAACACCATCACCTACATTGTGTCATGCATGTTTAATATATCCCATTGTGACGTCACAAGGTCCCGATGATGATTTCCTGTGATTTGCACTGTTTTAAGAATAACAATATGTGCAATTTACCATGAGTTTGTCGAATTTTTGATATCAAAACTCAATCTCATTCCAACTGCAAAGGACTTTTTTTTGAAACTCGCTTTAGGGTGTTTCATTAGATATAATATGTTATCCACACTTGTTTGAGAATCTCTGTATTTCATTGATGCGGAAATATTCAGACTATTTATCGTTGGTAAAAAAAAGTGTGAATATTTCCGCATCAATGAAAGAGTAAATCAATAAATCAATAAAATGAGAAAAAACGAAATAAAATAAATGAATAATCTGTTTCATCTAAAGACACATCATTTGATTACTACTATTTCAGATCTATCAAACACAAATGTATGATGTACATTTTGATTATTGTAATGATACAAATTATAAATGAATAAACTTAAAGCGTTTCCAGTTGCTCAACAGTATACGTCTCCACTCTGATATCTTTTCTTACCTTGATATTTCTGGTGATCAGGTTTTGTTTGTCCACACTTGCAGCTAAAAAAGAATATCCGAGTTAAAGAATGCTACATCGTAACACTTTTTTAACAACATTGCTATACTACTTTCTTTCGATCATGCTTTATCACAAAAGTACCTGCATTGGCGTAGAAAAAGACCAATGTGTTGTAGGACGGGAATATTTTAATTCGATAAAGACAACTACATGTATAACATGACAGTCTGTCCATCTCTCGTGAGAGATCGGGGTATATTGTTTGTCCCAAAATCTTTTAAAATCTTTCTTACTAATTGACGTCACAAATATTGTGATACTGTAATAGCTGAACGCGATGTTATTGATATAGTTGTAATAATCACCAAGGTTATAATTCATTCTATAAGAGCAGAGCATCCTTCAATCAACCATTTATCTTATTGGAAAAATTATTAATTACAAGATATAAGATAACCTATTTCGCATTGATATAAAGATTTCATATATAACGCTTACTCACAGCAGCAATCATTACGACAAATCAAAAGTATAATACTGATGGTGAAAATAAAATTCATAAACAAAGTCATTGAGTAATATGTAGCAAAATCTTTAGTTACATACACAATTGTAAGAGCAATTATTTAATAACAATATTTTATTTTAAAACTTCATAAAGATAATGCAGTTGTATGTACCATATGTTACCTTTATATTATTAAGATACATAAATGCATGTTAAGAGAAAAGAGTGAAGACACACAAACAGAGCTATAGAGACCGACAGTGCTAGCTAAAGAGATACAATATAAAATGTACTTACATCTTTGTATTCGCAAGTTTTTTCTCCTGGCCCTCCTCCTCGTCAAACCGTCCACAACAAAATTCATTGAAGTTTGAAGCGACAAATCCGAGCTCATCGTATCTGTTCTGTTTCGAAGATATTGGAGAAAACATTATATGGCACACCATATATTTTGTTTGTTTAATATAGAGAACACGATTACATTACTTTCTTGAAAACGTGTCACAACAAAGATTTTAATGAAGCCTGAAACAAGGTCTTTGTAGAGGGTGCAATCAGGAGTAATATGTAAACTGGCTGCCATCAAAATCCTAATGTGTTTTAATGATTTAGTGATCACAAGTTATTCACACATACAAACAAAAATTGGAAACGTTGTTTGTAAATAAGATTTTGTTCTAGATGTAAATGTAAATAATACCCAATGGGATTGCAACTGACTTCACACGTTCGTTCCGGAAGAGGGGCTAGTCAACTGCATCAAAGTACATTGAGTGCTTTCCATCGACAAAATATGCTGCAAATCTCCTGTGTGTAACCTTTATCATGTACCATTGTAGTGATACAATGTTAACGATACGTTTGTTGTATCATGCCCATCTGTTCATTGAAGAATTGCGTTACTCGATGCAAGCAGCATTACCCGGATACTCTATAGTTTTAACTATATAAAGACCTTACATACTTTCCAATTAGCCGCATTAATTTATTGATAGTCTATCAAACCGGTTTATTTGCGTATTGAATACGATAACAACCCCCTGGAGTCTTTAAAATATATTTACAATAATACACCCTGATTACTAGACACGTCTTTGTATTTCATATTTCATAACACAAGTTATAACTCTTTCTATTTTTTTATGAATACATACCTTTAACTGAAATATGTCGTTGTCCTGATGTTGATATCTAAAAGGGCTTGCCATGTTATCCATTCCTTTAGAATGTAAAACACATTAATAACTGAGATAGCTTCTTACATTACTTACTGTTGAAGAAATTTGCTAACAGTAAGTAATTCGGACATATCTTGTGCGATTTACCTACAAACTGTAATAAATATTTGTATTATGAATAAGTATGTGACCGCCCAAAGTGGACTCAAAGAAGGCGCATCCTGCGGTCGCCGATAGCTACCAATGATTCATGACTAAATGTTGATAAGTATGATATTTAAACAAGAGTTCATAATTGATTTATGTAGTTGACCATAAGTTTATGTAAATACATGGTTCAATATATGATGGTGGTAGTGTGCTAAATCTTATGATAAATGCATGAAGCCCCTATCTCTCATTCACGAATCAACACGATTTTTCAACTTTTCATAAACCGTGTTCATAATTTCTTAAATCGTGTATGTGAGATGGGGCTTTAGAGTCATGGCAAACCCTGAACCAACTAGGGGATTTATGAATAAAATGAATAAATGAATATTAAAATATCCGGGTTGGGGGCGACATTCCTATGCTAGGTCTGATATTGATATCAGCATGTCTTTTATACAAACAAATCATAACGAGTCATTTCCCTAAAGGGACTCAAAACCAGATTATCCACTTTATTAGCCGTGCCCTTGTACGTGTAAGAAGTTAACTTGAAACATGCGATTGGAAACAAATGAATACTTAACTTAAGATGTGAAATTAGATTATATGGTTGCAACACGCGGAATTATGTTTATTTTATCTACAGAATATAAATAATGTGAGTGCAATTTTTACCATATATCCACTCAGTTACCTGCATGTTAACCGTTAACTAATCAAGTTATTAGCTCTCGTGTTAACAATATATACATCCACTTATCTTCACGTTAACGATATATATGTATACAGCTACCTTCATGCTAACCATGTATATGTATATAGCTACCTTCATGTCAACCAAATACATGTATACAACTATTTTCACGTTAACCATACACATGTTTACAACTACCTTCACGTTAATCATATATATGTATACAGCTACCTTCACGTTAATCATATATATGTATACAGCTACCTTCACATTAACCATATATATGTATACAGCTACCTTCACATTAACTATGTATATATATTTACATTTGCCCCCGCGCCGTCCCATTACAACAGAGGGCAAGTGTAATTATATAGTCTATAATAACAACTGCTCGACCATAATTACAACTGCCTGTTTCAGGTGAAGGAATATGTAAACAAACAAAATGGCCGCCTGAAATGTATTTTGAGGCAGGGCAAATGGTTTTTGTAGGAATATGTCTTAAAAAAGAAAAATTTGTAAATATAGAAAATATCTAGCAGGTTTTATGGGATTTGCCAGAGGTCACTTGTAATTATATCAACAATAATTACATCCAGACAACCAGTTATTGTTTAAGTATACAGCTACCTTCACTTTAACCATATATATATATACAGTGGCCCTCATGTTAACCATATATATGTATACAGCTACCTTCACGTTAGCCATGTATATGTATACAGATACCTTCACGTTAACCATATATATGTATACAGCTACCTTCACGTTAACCATATATATATATATGTATATAGCTACCTTCACGTTAACCATATATATGTATACAGCTACCTTCACGTTAACCATATATATGTTTACAGCTACCTTCACGTTAACCATATATATGTATACAGCTACCTTCACGTTAACCATATATATGTTTAGCGCTACCTTCACGTTAACCATATATATTTGAATACAGCTACATTCATGTTAACCATGTATATGTATACAGCCACCTTCACGTTAACCATTTATATGTATACAGCTACCTTCACGTTAACCATTTATATGTATACAGCTACCTTCACGTTAACCATATATATATATGTATATAGCTACCTACACGTTAACCATATATATGTATACAGCTACCTTCAAGTTAACCATATATATATAAACAGCTACCTTCACGTTAACCATATATATGTATACAGCTACCTTCACGTTAACCATATATATTTTAAGTTAACCATTTATATAGATATCAATCCGGTAGCCTTTGTGTTAACGATATATATATAGATATATCCATTTACATATATATTAACTAAATATATCTATCAAATAACCTTCACGTTAACCATGTATATATATATATACAGCTATTTCCACATTAACCATATATATGTATATAGCTACCTTCACGTTAACCATATATATATATACAGCTACCTTCACGTTAACCATATATATGTATACAGCTACCTTCACGTTAACCATAGATATATAAACATCTACCTTCACGTTAACCATATATATATGTGTACAGCTACCTTCACGTTAACCATATATATGTATAAAGCTACCTTCACGTTAACCATATATATATAAACAGCTACCTTCACGTTAACCATATATATGTTTACAGCTATCTTCACGTTAACCATATATAAGCATACAGCTACCTTCACATTAACCATATATATGTATACAGCTACCTTCACGTTTACCATATATCCTTCAAGTTAACCATATATATATATATCAATCCGGTAGCCTTTGTGTTAACGATATATATATAGATTTATCCATTTACCTATACATTACCCAAATATATCTATCAAATAACCTTCACGTTAACCATGTATATATATATATATACAGCTATCTCCACATTAACCATATATATGTATACAGCTTCCTTCACGTTAACCATATATATGTATACAGCTACCTTCACGATAACCATATATGTATGTATATAGCTACCTTCACGTTAACCATATATATGTATACAGCTAACTTCACGTTAACCATATATATATGTATACAGCTACCTTCACGTTGACCATATATGTGTATACAGCTATCTTCACGTTAACCATATATATGTATATAGCCACCTTCACGTTAACCATATATCCTTCAAGTTAACCATATATATATATATATCAATCCGGTAGCCTTTGTGTTAACGATATATATATAGATATATCCATTTACCTATATATTAACCAAATACATCTGTCAAATAACCTTCACGTTAACCATGTATATATATATATACAGCTATCTCCACCAGCTACCTTCACGTTAACCATATATCCTTCACGTTGACCATATATGTGTATACAGCTACCTTCACGTTAACCATATATATCTATACAGCTACCTTCACGTTAACCATATATATGTATACAGCTACCTTCACGTTAACCATATATATATATGTATATAGCTACCTTCACGTTAACCATATATATATGTATATAGCTACCCTCACGTTAGCCATATATATGTATACAGCTACCTTCACGTTAACCATGTATATATATATACAGCTATCTCCACATTAACCATATATATGTATACAGCTACCTTCACGTTAACCATATATATATAAACAGCTACCTTCACGTTATCCACATATATATAAACAGCTACCTTCACGTGAACCATATTATTGTATACAGCTACCTTCACGTTAACCATTTATATATAAACAGCTACCTTTACGTGAACCATATATATATATATAGCTACCTTCACGGTTACCATATATATGTATACAGATACCTTCACGTTAACCATATATATGTATACAGCTACCTTCACATTAACCATGTATATATATACAGCTATCTCCACATTAACCATATATATGTATACAGCTACCTTCACGTTAACCATATATCCTTTAAGTTAACCATATATATAAATATCAATCCGGTAGCCTTTGTGTTAACGATATATATATAAATATATCCATTTAACTATATATTAACCAAATATATCTATCAAATAACCTTCACGTTAACCATGTATATATATATACAGCTATCTCCACATTAACCATATATATGTATACAGCTACCTTCACGTTAACCATATATCCTTTAAGTTAACCATATATATAAATATCAATCCGGTAGCCTTTGTGTTAACGATATACAGCTCCCTTCACATTAACCATATATATGTATACAGCTACCTTCACGTTAACCATATATATGTATATAGCTACCTTCACGTTTACCAAATATATATGTATATAGCTATCTTCATGTTAACCATATATATGTATACAGCTACCTTCACGTTAACCATATATATGTATACAGCTACCTTCACGTTAACCATATATATATAAAAAGCTACCTTCACGTTAACCATATATATGTATACAGCTACCTCTACGTTAACCATATATATGTATACAGCTATCTTCACATTAACCATATATATGTATACAGCTACCTTCACGTTAAACATATATCCTTCAAGTTAACCATATATATATATATATATCAATCCGGTAGCCTTTGTGTTAACGATATATATATAGATATATCCATTTACCTATATATTAACCAAATATATCTATCAAATAACCTTCACGTTAACCATGTATATATATATATATACAGCTATCTCCACGTTCAGCATATATATGTATACAGCTACCTTCACGTTGACCATATATGTGTATACAGCTACCTTCACGTTAACCATATATATGTATACAGCTACCTTCACATTAACCATATATATGTATATAGCTACCTTCACGTTTACCATATATCCTTCAAGTTAACCATAGATATATAAATATCAATCCGGTAGCTTTTGTGTTAACGATATATATATAAATATATCCATTTACCTATATATTAACCAAATATATCTATCGAATAACCTTCACGTTAAACATGTATATATATACAGCTATATCCACATTAACCATATATATGTATACAGCTACCTTCACGTTAACCATATATATGTATACAGCTACCTTCACGTTAACCATATATATATAAACAGCTACCTTCAAGTTAACCATATATCCTTCAAGTTAACCATATATATTAATCCGGTAGCCTTTGTGTTAATGATATATATATAGATATATCCATTTACCTATATATTAACCAAATATATTTATCAAATAACCTTCACGTTAACCATGTATATATATAAATATACAGCTATCTCCACATTAACCATATACATGTATATGTATACAGCTACCTTCACGTTGACCATATATATATATATAGCTACCTTCACGTTAACCATATACATATGTATATAGCTACCTTCACGTTAACCATATATATATAAACAGCTACCTTCACATTAACCATATATATGTATATAGCTACCTTCACGTTAACCATATATATATATACAGCTACCTTCACGTTAACCATATATATGTATACAGCTACCTTCACGTTAACCATATATTTATAAACAGCTACCTTCACGTTAACCATATATATATGTATATAGCTACCTTCACGTTAATCATATATATGTATACAGCTACCTTCACGTTAACCATATATATGTAACCATCTACCTTCACTTTAGCCATATCTATATTAACAGCTACCTTCACGTTAACCATATATATATAAACAGCTACCTTCACGTTAACCAAATATATATGTATATAGCTACCTTCACGTTAACCATATATATGTAAACAGCTACCTTCACGTTAACCATATATATATTAACAGCTACCTTCACGTTAACCATATATATGTATACAGCTACCTTCACGTTAACCATATATATGTATACAGCTACCTTCACGTTAACCATATATATATAAACAGCTACCTTCACATTAACCATAATTATGTATACAGCTACCTTCTTGTTAACCATACATATACATATGTATAAAGCTACCTTCACGTTAACCACATATATGTATACAGCTACCTTCACGTTAACCATATATATGTATGCAGCTATCTTCACGTTTACCATATATCCTTTAAGTTAACTATATATATATATATCAATCCGGAAGCCTTTGTGTTAACGATATATATATAGATATATCCATTTACCTATATATTAACCGAATATATATATCAAATAACCTTCACGTTAACCATGTTTATATCCATAAACCTTCACGGTAACCATATATACATGTATATATGTATATATCCGGTAACATGTACAAATGTACCTTTACGTTCACCAATTATACATCTATTTACCTATACGTAAACCATCTGTATCTGTATAACTAGTTAACTCCACGTTAACCATATAGGTAGTTTCATATATTTTAACCATATACCCATCCACATATATTTGGTTAATATATAGGTAAATGGACATATCTATATATATATCGTTAACACAAAGGCTACCGGATTGATATATATATATATATATATGGTTATGTTTACCATATAGCTATATACATATATGTTAACCATATACCGATCAAGTTACCTTCATGTTAACTTTATAGCTAGTTATATATATGTTAACCATATAGCTATATACATATATGTTAACAATATATCCATCCAGTAACCATCAAGTCAACAATATAGCTAGTTACATGTATGTTAATTATATAGCTAGTTACATATATGTTAATTATATAGCTAGTTACATATATGTTAACCATATACCCACCCAGTTACCTTCATGTGAACCATATAGCTAGTTACATATATGCTAACCATATACCTATTCAGTTACCTTCATGTTCACCAAATAGCTAGTAACATATATGTTAACCATATACCCATCTAGTTACCTTCACGTTAACCATATATCTATATACTTATATGTTAACCATATACCCACCCAGTTCCCTTCATGTTAACTATATAGCTAGTTACATATATGTAAACCATATCCCCACCCAGTTACCTTCATGTTAACCATGTAGCTAGTTACATATACGTTAACCATATAGCTATATACATATATGGTTACCATATATCCAACCAGTTACCTTCCTGTTAGCTATATAACTAGTTACATGTATGTTAACTATATAGCTAGTTACATATATGTAAACCATATCCCCACCCAGTTACCTTCATGTTAACCATGTAGCTAGTTACATATACGTTAACCATATAGCTATATACATATATGGTTACCATATATCCAACCAGTTACCTTCTTGTTAGCTATATAGCTAGTTACATGTATGTTTACTATATAGCTAGTTACATATATGTTAACCATATCCCCACCCAGTTACCTTCATGTTAACCATATAGCTAGCTACATATATGTTAACCATATAGCTAGCGACATTTATGTTAACCATATAGCTAGTTATATATATGTTAACCATATGCCTATATAGTTTCCTTCACGTTAACCATATATCTATATACTTATATGTTAACCATATACCCATCCAGTTATTTTCATGTTAATCATATACCTAGTTACATATATGTTAACCTTATCCCAATCCAGTTCCCTTCATGTTAACGATATAGCTAGTTACATATATGTTAATTATATAGCTAGTTACATATATGTAAACCATATCCCCACCCAGTTACCTTCATGTTAACCATGTAGCTAGTTACATATACGTTAACCATATAGCTATATACATATATGTTAACCATATACCGATCAAGTTACCTTCATGTTAACTTTATAGCTAGTTATATATATGTTAACCATATACCTATTCAGTTACCTTCATGTTCACCAAATAGCTAGTAACATATATGTTAACCATATTCCCATCCAGTTACTTTCATGTTAACCATATAGCTAGTGACATATATTTTAACCATATAGCTAGTGACATTTATGTTAACCACATAGCTAGTTACATATATGTTAATTATATAGCTAGTTACATATATGATAACCATATACCCACCCAGTTACCTTCATGTGAACCATATAGCTAGTTACATATATGTTAACCATATACCTAGTGACATTTATGTTAACCATATAGCTAGTTACATATATGTTAACCATATAGCTAGTGACATTTATGTTAACCATATACCCATCCAGTTATCTTCATGTTAACCATATTCACATAAACATGTTTCCAGTAAGTTATGACGTCAAACATTAACAAATTTATGAAATATTCATTAATTGTTGTAGCTTTTGTCAGTCTAACAGGGACTTGATATATTTCGGGTCGATACCGGGCTCCAAGTAAACATTCAAATTTATACATACCATTCTTATTTGTCATTTATATAATGGAATCTTTGAATATACTTAAGTTGTATTATGGTTTTAAATGTGTGGTTTTAAAGTTTAAGGAATAAATCTAATGTGTTTATCAGTTGTCGTCATAGTTTTACCATGTCTTCGGTTCCGGATATAACGGTAATACAATATGTCTGGCACGGACATGAAATGCATCCTTGCATTGGTTAGTGAGGTACAATATACATCCATGTACCCGATAAGTTATACAATTATAAGGCCATGTACATTATAAACGAATAAATCAGCAGGCTTTACGGAACTGTCCATTGTTTTGTTTTCTATTTGCGATAAAATAGAACATCTATGATCCAAAGCTTTTAATTTTTTAATTAGATATGTAAATAATGTGTTTACCTACCGATTTCTTAAGAATTATTACTGCTATATCCAAACACAGCATGGAGTTTCCGTCGTCTTAATGCCATCTTACCGTGTGATTAAAGTAGTGCTTCTTGAACATACTTTTACTGGTACACCCGTTTAACAACACAATGCAAATAGCGTTAAATATGTATCGCCTTGTCTGGTAGTTATCAACAAAATCCTATAAACAGGCCCTGGTCTGAATGGTATGGGTTTAACCTTGCATGTAGACAGACAATACACAATACCCGGTAGGTGGACGGTACTCGTCAAACACGTAGTACACCTGATGTGTATTCACGGGTATATAATACATGAATGTATATACATGTATGTGGATGTTTTAAACGTTCATCCATTCATGTGTCTACTGGTCTGATACACTCTATGTCGCACTAATTAGGTGTGTGCATGCTTAACCTCGTGGACATGCGAAAGGCAGTGATGGCCAGTGAACCACGAATTTAAAAAGAACTTAAATATTGGTCGGTTTGTTGGAAGTGCATGTAATGCTGTATACTTTTGAATTAAAGGAGATTATATAAATGTCTTTCACACTTATAACTTTAGATCCATATTTGTCTAAAAAAAATATATCAATTCATCTAGTTGTGAATGCTATTCATGTTCCTTCATTTGACTTCTTGTATTGTATTTTCTGTTTTTATTTCATTTTATTTCTATTTATTTCATACATTAATCTACATTTATATATATCTACGTAGGAAACAAATTATCGGTTGTCCGAAATAATGGTAACTAATCGAGTTCAAACGTTTTTTAATATATCGTTTTTAAAAACAAATGTTATGCAAGGAAAACTACGGTTTACTGTAGCCGATATCTGTGAAGATTTATGTTGGCTTTCCTTTTGTGTTTGCTTTCCCTTTGCAAACCTACTAATTGGTTCCCGTTGTCTTTTTCATGTCGACATGTGAAGTAAATGGTTGAGGATTGTAATTAACAGGTGTGTTGAATTTTATCATAAATCAAACAATAATCGATAAGTTGAAAAAGAATGTAACTTAAATAATTAGTGTGCATGGCAAAGCGTGAAAAAGAATTTAAATTTGAACAATTACTGATAGATGATGAAAGAGTATATCTAAAAATAAAAGAACCGATGTGTGGTAATTGGGTCTGATTTAGACATTTATCAGGTAAAAACTTCATAAAAGCAGTACAACGATCTAAAGATTCAAATATCACAGACTTTTCTTCAGAAGGGTTTGATTTTTGCAGATATCATGTTGAAATCAATAATTTACCAGAACAGCGAACTCATATAAGCCAATTTGCAAATACCTCTGTGATATGTACATATACTAATGACCGCATGTCAATGTGTGCAAGGACCGGTTAGTCTCCAACAAATATTTAATGTTATGTAAACAGTTGAGTTTTAATGCCCAAACGAGGAAGTTGGTTCAAAAGCAATAAACACATTTACTAAAATTAGAACCGTTTGGCTAAATTATTGAAATACATTTTGTAAAGAATTTATTGGAGACCTTGTGTAAAGTTCCTTGTGACTAGTAAACAATCGATAAGTCAAAGATTCTCTAAATTCCGGGGCTTCTTTGTTTACTGGTCCAGAATAGGCATGAATAGGTGACAAAGTGTCTTGACACGAGTGGGCATTTAAAGATTAAATATCCTGTTTCTAAGTGTTGCATTACATTTTCGTTTTGATTTAGAATATAGTCTACCAAATGGCTCCGGAAATATGTCTGATCCGAACATGTTAGCTCCTATTTAGGTAAAAATGATTGCAGTTCAATATTATTTTTGCACACACACTCAGATATAAACAACACTGTACAATTACAACAGGACATGTGCCATACACTTTTCCTCCTTTGTCACGTGTGTTCCTATGGCCTTTATGCAATTAGTAAACATAATGTGTCATATACACTACTAGTGTATATATGTCGATCCCAAAGTTTAAGATAGGAATTACCTGTAGTAATTGTACTATGTTTGGCATTTGATGTGTACATTTAGAGATTTCGTATTTTTTCGTTTTACCAAAATGTGTATAACAAAAAGATCGGACAAAAGACAACGCCTATATAAGTCGTTACTAAATTACCTGAATCCTACTCTATTTAATCGAATTTGCAATACATAGACATACATTTTTGATCCTTGTAAGGTTTAAATGAATTAAGCAATATGTATACAATTTGTTTATGTTTTGATACCCGTCTTGTTGTTTTAGAAGTTATTTTTATATTGTATTCATCAATGAATACACTATTTAATGTCTACTATTAGTTCAAACCATACACTTGATTTTATCTGTTGTAAAGACCTACACAATTATATAAATAAAATGAATAAATAAAAAAAAAAAAAAATAAACACGACAAAATTTGATATATAATGTATAAATATTCACTATTGATTTTTATTTGACATTCGTTTCCTAATCCTATCAAAAAGTGTCCAGTAACGAATGAACATCAGAGACCTTGGAAACATAATAGGTGTTTGAAACGTTGCTGTTTATATAAGTAAGAATATATGCGGATATTTCATACATGTATTTGCAAATCTCTACTTATTTTGTTCTAATGAAAAAGGTAACTCGTTGTGTTTGCTTCAGCACCGCTTTAACCTGACTTTGTGGGAGTGAAATTCAGATTACTTTTTCAAAAAACCGTTTGTTATATTACGTTCTATAACATCTTGCAAACTAACTCACTCGGCGATGTTGGTAACTTGCTAATGTAACTGATTGAGTCAATCGAATATGATCAACTTCGCCTATGGAAATAGATCTGGTCCTGTGGATTAACAAACTTCACATATCCCTCAAGCCCGTACTTTACCCGTCTACCGATCTTGTAGTTTACTAACACAGTGACTGTTGTATTCAACTGTAATGAACTCGAGTTAGGTAGCTTTATACTCGTATTATAATACTGCATTGGCAACACTTATAAACGAGTTATTGCCCCTTATTCAAGTGATCAACAACATTTCAACATGTAGGCAAGATACTACACTATTACCAGTCTTCATTAAGGATCTCCATGGCCCCATGAGCCGTCATTAAATATCTCAGTTTGTTTACTAGTTCCTGTCAACCTGTTGGAGTAATTTACTGCCAGATGTTAATGTCATATCTTCCTGGTTGTTCCTGGAATGAACACATTCTGTAGACGGTTGTCCCATGTCTATTTTCAAAGTATCTATAGTCCTGTCAATTGATATGTCGTTGTGTTGTAATTTCTCCGCCGATGAAGTTTGAAAAACACCCGAGAGCAGACTTAAAATTCCTCCCAGCATAATTAATATACCTGTAATGACAATGTATGTTGATTACAATTAATTTCCTTTCTTGGTCTACTTTATTTTACAAAATATTTAGGGATATCAGATCTTGTACAGTGAAAACTGTTCAAGTGAAATGATATGTACGCTTTGTATTTAATGAAAATAATGGTTCGTACACTTTTCTATCTGAAGGTAAGGAGAAAGAACGATAACATTACTGTGAAGACCATATTATAATAGATACATTTTCTTCATTTTTCCAGACATATTATTTAATTGGATAAAATGTCATCTGATTAAGTCGCACCTTATCAAAAACTGGTAGGTACACATATTTAGTAAGCTGATAAAGCTGATAAAGACAACGCTAGACGAATCGTTGTTTATAACACCTTCGTGACATGTCTTATGTCACAGACAGCATTTAAAAGAAAAATTATGAAAGCATCACATCGATACGTTGACCATTCCTCTGATGTACATGTAGTCAGGGGAATTTCATCTTTAAGGGCGATTTCTATCTTTGTACTAAAATATAGGTCATCCAGTGCAGGCTCTTTAACCCCGTAACAATGCAATATCTGATTCACAAAATAAGGCAATGGTATATGGATGCATAAGTTTCATTTTGAAGAAGATATCTGATGAATAAATGGTATATACCTGTTATAATAAAACAGAGATCGTAGGTGCCTCCGACGTCTATCACTTTCCCTATTGAAAAAGAAGAAAAAAGAATAATAATTCAAATACTCACATATTTAATGTCTTTCATATATTCCACATCATCTTTACATTCACATGAACGGATATTTTATGATCTTGTCAAACAAAAAAGCGAAATGTTGCTATGACTACAAACTCTTGTTATTTGCTGTTTGACATCGTGCTTATGACATCATAACCATTGTGACAATAAGATTATTTTCCAAAACATTTGTCAGAATTATGAGTTTCTTTTTATATCGATATTTCAGCTTTCAAGATTATTTTTTTATACTATGACATCCTCAACATGTAACGAATAAAATACAAATATAAGAATTGCACGGAAAAAATATATGTATAATTCTACACGATTTAGAGATTGATTACTTGTATATCCACAACATGTAGTAATTTCTTCAAAAATGTTAATCGTCACCAATATTTATGGATTAGCATATTTCATCTATTGTTCAAATAAAAACAGAAATATACAATAGTTATTTTCCACAGTATCATATCGTAATTGGCAGTATTTATTTTTATTTGTGTTAGTGGACGGTTTAGCAATCTTTAAATAGCTACTCTAAATTTGTGTAGTCGTTGTAAATGTTTCTTACCTACAAACGAAGGTCCTATAAATATACAGATCCCCATAGCAGCAAACTCAATTCCAGTGGCGGAAGCAAAATGTTGTAAACCGACCAGTTTTATATTAATGATATTAAGAATCGAGAAGACGGAATCGCCGTAGAATCCAAGAAATATACAATAGATAAGAAGTCCTCCGAATGATGAACCGTATATAGGGAGTAACATACTGGCCAACGCCAGAAACGTGAACATTCCGAACAGAAGCGTTGTCTCTTGTACATTGTGATTATTAACGTTCACGAGTGACGATACTGACAGTCTTGCAACAAGCGAACAAACTCCTCGCACATTCAAAAGATAAGAGGCCTCCATAACAGACAACCCCATCGTCGTCACATAGTTGGGAAAATGTAAATACATGACAAACACACCGAGCTGGGTCAAACACAGACAACCGGCAAAGCATACAAACCCAGGGTTCTTCATAATTCTAAGCCAACTTCTAAAACCGGCAGGTACTGATGGTGTAGTTTTCCTGTTCTGTGCAAGTGATGTATGTTTCCGGGATTCTTCAAGGTAGGAGGGGAAATACATAAACCCAAGAAAGCATGGCTGCAGTGCTATACCTGCTAGAAGTACGAAAAATATTCGGTTCCCATAAAATTCTCGGATCATTTCTATCGCAGTTGGCATGAAGAGACCGCCCAAAGAAATCCCTGAAGTTGAAAAGCCACTTGCCATATTTTGACGTAGTTTAAAGTTATAACCCACAACAAAATATGCTGCTGTATTGGTCATACTAGATCCGATACCTGAAATATATGACATAGCTATTCAGGTCTTAACCGATATAGGAATTAGAAAAATAATTAGTAAACTCTTAATGAAAAAATAAAAAGCACAATTAACATACTTATATAAATAAATAAAACTTAACCCAAATAAACATGTTAGAGAAAACACGTAATAAATTTTCACTTTATCATTATTCATCCATAAGAAAAACAACCACGTTTCCTGTACCTGCCAATACACCGTAGGAGAATATGACAATATCAAGAGACACGGGGAACGCACAGACAGCAAGGCCAAGTGTGAAGAGCAGTGAACCGGTTACCGTGACAACACGACAGCTGTACTTATCCACCAACACACTGGTAACTATACCTGTACAATGAAGGAGGTTCATACAATAACTATATTATCGATATATTTCCCTATTTTCTTCTTTAGCTTAGTAAACTCTGACTGCGTATAAGTTAACGAATAACAGTGAAACAAATGTTCGGCGGATTGATTCATGTTTACAATATGGCGAATATGAGAAATAACAACAATTGCTTTATTCCTTCAATATCTGGAAACATATAACATATTCATGATCCATCATGTCTAGTTACACAACAACGGGCTGCTGACAAGCTACTTATTCCTTTGATGCACATTCAAATTTCCTTGTCTGTAAAGTAAACAATTATGGCTTTGTTTAGGAACTCTCGACCGCGTTACTACCGGAGCAGTTTGTCAATGCGTGTACACAGACCAATACAAAAGTAGAAAAGCAATTTTGAAGGCCCTCTCAGATTAATTAAATTAAAATTCAAAAGCTATAAAAATAGAATAATGCTATTCTCTTTATCATTTTCTAACTTTACGCACATACCGGTGTAGATTCAATTGAACTATATAATCCTAGCCTCACGGCCACCGTAGTTACTATCTTAGCAACCAACTGTGGTTTCTTTTCTGCAGTATTTAAACAATATTTTCGGAAGTAAATATAAGAATTGACCCATATACGCCATACAAATGAAGTTCAATGCTAAATTAATGAAAATTCAAGAAGAATATTATTCAATCGTTATCTACCAAACATCATACATTACTAAATCATTGACCAACTGATGTACCCACCTCCGGCAGTATTCGCACATGCAAATATAGAGCCAGCCAGCGACGTCCTTAAGTTTGTATCCTGATATCTGTCTAATAGTGCCAAATGGATGATGCCAAGAGTCCCAATGAAGATTCCTTGTATAAACATGACTCCAAAAGCTGCGATCAGGACCATCCAGGACCAGCCTTTATCAGGTGATGTCAACTTCATCACCTATTTATCAAGATGCAAGTAGCACTCCTGAAAACAACAAGAGAGCGGTGATATCAACAAAACAGTAATTTGAGCTCAAACTCAATAAACAAGTGCAAACAAATAAACAAAAGAAATATTTACATAAAGACATGGGAAAAAAAGTACAGGGAGCAAAAGACCAGGTGTTCTGGAAGGGTAAGCGTCTTATTCTTTATCGAGGCCACTTGCCGTGTCAAATCTATGTCAAATGTGAGTAATGTAACGTCCTCACACTGAGAACTCTCGTAGTGACAATAAAACAACTGGGCACAATAATGAGCTACGACCTCAATTAAGCATTAATGGATTCGCCATTTATTCAATTAAAACGTGCTCTACTGAAGTAAGCATCTCATTAACTAACCTAGATACAAGGGTGTCCCTTAAATATTTATAAGGAATATAATGAAAGCCATGTGAAGTAGGTAAGCATGGGGAAAATGTGATAAAGCGACCGTCTTAAAACGAGCAGCTTCCAGTTTGTGTCGTATGGTACATTCTGGTTCATATATGTCTGTTTATAAACCGTTATGTTTATTCCCGATATTGTTGTCAGCTATTAAATTCGAAGATAAGTATGTGGTAAAAGTGTACAGTAAACCTGAGCGTGCATATTGAAGACAGGCGATAGGCTAAGGACACTGTTCTGATAACACACTGTATATATAGATTTTATGATTTGATTTATACTGTTTAAGCTACCACACGCTCCCACAATTATTCAAAATTGATAATCAGTAGAATAATCTGCTATCTGATTATTGTCCCTACAAAACTGATGTTATACTTACAAGGACCAGCGAGTATGTGTAACGAGCAATGAATGTCTTACATTGCTATAATACTGCAGTTCCAAACGCGTTACCAACCTCGACTCGTAGCTGTGCTATTTCACAATATTATGATGGTGGCCGGTCAATGCCAAAGAACAAATATTGTAATCTCGCTCCTTCGACCTACAGTCGACAATGCGACAACGCGATAATTCGACGGCGTGGGAGTGAAAACGCGAGAGCACGACAGCAAGGAGCGAGAATACGAGATTTGTGTTTTTGACACTTATCTCTCTATCTCGCCGTCGTATTCTCGCGTTGTCGCATTTTCGCGGTATAAAGTTGAGAGTTTGCACAAACGGTGAAAGGCCAAGATTCGATGACCAAGAAGCCACTGGCTAACTAATCTTTGCACCAAATTTATTTGTCAGGTCAGCAGGCAAATATAACAGGTGTGAAAAAGTTCCCGATTTTTATTATCATGTGCCACATAACGCGTATCACGATAAATATAAGTCAACATCACGCGTATCACGATAACTGTAAGACAACATCACGCGTATCACGATAACTGTAAGACAACATAACGTGTATCACGATAACAGTAAGACAACATAACGCGTATCACAATAACTTTAAGACAACATCACGCGTATCACTATTCGGTATTATCACTTAACATTTTGAAATATGAATAGAAATCATACCAGGTAGAACAGGATAGTGATATTTGCGACGAGAACGATATCAACAGTGACTAGATATCTGACGATTATATTGTAGAGAAGTGTCAGCGAAAGTATTATGAACCACCTACCATTTGATGTAATTGCATTTATGAAATTTTAACTTCATGCCTATTTATTATAAATGCTGCTCTTTTTTAATGGGTTTGGAATATACACCTAAGTACAGGACAACGTTGAATGCATTTTTGTGATTTCGAATCAATTAATCTAATTCAGACATTGTAATATATTATAGTGTTTTATATTTGTGATCTTTTGTTTTTGGCAGTGATTGTTTTCTTGAAAGCATTAATATTAGTTTAAACAGTATTTTATTCAATATATGGCTGTGACAAAATAATACAAAAATGAACAAAGAGGATTCGAAAACAAGTACATAAGTAATTATATCAATTCGTCTCCTTATTAATAAACCTGGCAGTAGCACTAATATCAAATGATAATGATATAAATATCACTTCTATTTCACTCAAAGTATTATATTACAACTATTGTATCAAACCGATGTTATTATAAGTTATGTCGCATAAAAACGTTATACATTTGTTAATTGATATTTATTAAAGTGGAACATGTATATCAAACAAAATGTTTGGAAAGGTAACTATAGATTGAAATTATGTACGGTGTTATTTACTGATAACAACACGCGACACACTCACTATAGTTTAACTTTATTTCATTGTTATTATCATTATGAGTGTTTGGTAATAAAACAATTCAGTTCATTTTATTTCTTGTATCAACATCTCGATACAGGGAATACCTTGCCCATACCATTCACCCCGCTAGTAGTTGAGACTAGACCTCATAATTAGGGAGCTGGCCCTGTGGCCTTGTGTAAACATTCATCACTGTCAATGATCCAAATGATACCAGGATACACAAATGTCTTTGAATATGAGGTAAAGATTGACGGGAGACTTCTGGTCTGTAACCTCTATCCATGATTTAACTGTCGATTTGGAACTGTATCCATTCATTTACTAACACGTTCGAGCACAGAATGAAAAGAGGGAAAGACCGGCGCAGGTTCGGCACCGGACTTAATCCGGCCACCCATGGTATTATCGGTTTTGAGCATATATACACACGATTTGGACCAACTTAGGTTACTCGACCGAATGGAATATTAACATGAAAAAAACAGTGTGTTAAACTCGATTATAACAATACAAAACGGAAAAAGATATTTTTTCAGCAGGAAAAAGCATGACTTCGTATATTTATCGATATTACGACGTGGCCCGAACTTTCTCAGGATTATCAATCAGAACATGCCCAAGGCACGTTTAATCATCTAATCTCCCGAAAGAAAAAAACCCATCTTCTTCATGTAGAAAATTGGTGCATACAATGTTTAAGCAAGACTATTTTACATACTGTATTATTTTGGATTATCAACAGTTATTTCCTGAGCATACAATCAATAACAAGATATAATACAGGACAAATATCGAAATTAAACTAACGTCGTTTCACTCTCTATTAGAAAACCCTACTAAGGCTCTAGCAGATGCAAACATGTAGCACACTCTGTCTTTCCTCGAAAGTGATTAATGGACTCCGATTGCTGTTTCGGCATTGTTTTCAGATATTTTATTACCATGGGTCATTTCAGGTCACAGTGTCTGATAACGACATTTAAATGCTTTCATATCTTTCTGTATAACCCTTTCTGTACCATTTGTAAGGAAACATAATGAAATGAAAGCAACGTGCTTTCCTATTTTTGTGTACCAAACTGCCGTACAGAATAAAATAAAAGCAACATGCTTCTCTAACTTTGTGTACCATACTTAGGTACAGAATGAAATGAAAGCAACATGCTTCTCTATCTTTGTGTACCATACTGCGATACAGAATGAAATAAAAGCAACATGCTTCTCTATCTTTGTGTACCATACTGCGGTACAGAATGAAATGAAAGCAACATGCTTCTCCATCTGTGTGTACCATACTGCAGTACAGAATGAAATGAAAGCGACAAGCTTTCTTTTTATTCTGCCGGCGTTGTGTATACAGATTCATGTGAAAGTATTTGAGATTTAAAAATAATGTTTCTAATCTATATGTTCTACACATGGTACATAAAGAATTGTTTTTTATTTCTTTGTTTACCGTGGTACACTTTTATGCGTTACACAAAGAAACGATTTTTCTTATCATTTTGTACAACGATACACTTTGATGTGGTACACAATAACATAACAAAATCTATTCACTTTTCCGGCTCTTGTTGGCCATCGTATAAATGGTTTATATACACATACATTCCATCACTGAATGCCATACTTTACAGAAGGAATAATAGAAATGGGCCGAACCTATGGAACGCAAGACTGTCTTATCTGCATTGTCTGTATTATGTTGGGTTAACATATCATTATGTTGGGTTAACATGTCATTATGTTGGATGGATATGTCGTTATGTTGGATGGACATGTCGTTATGTTGGATGGACATGTCGTTATGTTTGGTGGACATGTCATTATGGTTGATATGCCATTATGTTGGGTTAACATGTCATGGTGCTGAGCTAAAATGTCATGGTGTTGAGTTGTAACAGCATCGTGTTGAGTATTCATGCCATGATGTCGTGTATTCATATAAGGATGTTTAGTTGAACCAGCATCGTGTTGAGTATTCATGCGATGAAGATAAGACAGTCGTGGCGTTCAATAGAACCTGCTCCCGTCTCCCGTAATGATATCGGCCTTGGCTCTATGCACCCACCTATTTGTACTGTTAAAGGAAGACCGGCGCGCCAAGTTTACTATTTTTGCTAATTAGGGTGTTATGACTAAGATTCAATTGGATTGTAGTAATCCTGTTTCTGTATTTCACCTGCTCAAGGTGATGTCATATTATCTGACACTCGCCAACGTCAAGAAACCCCGTGCCAAAGGGGCTACCTATCATTAGAATGCAGCTTTAATGTATTGATTGAGTGTGTAATAAGGCATTTCAAACAGCTCTTGTTCTGGCTTGCTCAGCATCCAATTATCTGATCAGATAACACCTTGTAAAACAACATTGAAGGTTTGGAGAGATACTTTTATTGACAAATGATTTTCTGCTCAGACAGTACGCACTATCAACTTCCTAAAGCGAGAATGTAAGAGGCGCGAGAGCAAATTACAAATCTCGTGATATCGCTCCATCGACCTGTAGTCGACAAAGCGGGAATACAACGGCAAGGGAGCGAAAATACGAAGGCAAAGGGAGAGGATTAGTCTTGCTCCCTTGGCGTCGTATTTGACATTGTCGCTTTGCCGACTAAGGTCGTGGAGCGAGACCACGAGATTTGTAATTTGGCCCTAACTGGCCAGCTTGCATATGTATCTGTATGTCTTTGTCTGTGTTTACAACCACAAGTTAGCACGACGATACTTTGTTTCTTTTCACTTTTGACATAAAGGATATTTTTGTTTAGTTTCACACATATGTTATGTATTTGCGTATGATAATCTCGACAACCTAT